ATCTACTCCTATTTGAAACTATTTTACCTGATTCCATTGCATTTGGCTAAAAATCGGTCATTTAATACTACGGACAAAACACTTCTTAAGCGTTGTTTCTCACTAAAGCCGATCCCATTCCTTGTGTGTTTCGGTGTATAAAAATTTAAACACGGTTCCCGACCGGCCCTGGATGTTATTCACTGACGACATGTTAACATTCGGATGATGATCGAGCATGACGGCGGCTCATGCGTAAAGTTCGAAGTACAAATGGACAACTTCTTTTCAAATGTCCTGTACTATTGCTATCGCTGCGCCTGCCGCTACTTCTGTCCTAGAGCGCCTGTCGCCTGTATCATCAGGTGGCGAGTCGATGATTCTGTCGACACTGAATCCGTCTCGTGGCGAAATCACATTGTAACGAAAGAGAAAAACCGCAACTTTATAAAATATTGCGTAAAAATAGTAAGGATAGAGTGAGCGTAGCAGATGAGAGTTGTTTTTATTTCAAACAAAGACAAAGCTGTTTATTGTCGCCGGTATGTTTCTACTCGCTATAATATCGCCTTACAACATGTAAGATGTAGTTCATATGGAAACATCGTACCTGCCGAGGGTGGATGCGTAGCATATATTCGTCAAGTTAAGAATATACAAAAAAACCGAGATGCTCAGCCCCATACGATCAACAATATATATATATGTCTAATATGCATTAACATTCTTTGTTCTACGATGCTGATCGAGAAGGAAAACGACCTTGTTGAGGTAGCCCTTATTGCTTTGACGTGTATGGGAAAATCAGGGTTTTGCGCATGTAGAATCAAAAATTAGAATATATAGCCACTTTCCCACCTATTTCATGAAATGCACCTGAGAAAAATAGAGCACAAATAAAGTAGAAGCAAAAACAAGTACAAGAGATTTAGGGTAAGAGATAGACGATGGTGTGAATTAGACCCATAATGAACGTTCAGTCGAGGAACGTTCGCTTACTTTTGCCTCTTGTCGAAAAAAAGAAAGGAAGAATAGATATTACACTTCGCCTATACGACGAGTGTTGAAAATATCTGTTGTTAAATTTAACAAATAGCTTTTGTATTTCTGCATAAGGTGAACGGGCCAAACGGGTGTACAATGATATGACAATGAAACTAAGTCGAATTAGCCACGGGAGCAGTGACAGGTGGCCATACGTCCTTTCGCTGTTGACTGACATTTAGTTTGCCACGGTACAGCTGAGAAAGTCTTTGGCGTTTAGCCCAGTGGAACTCATTGCAAGGCTTCATTTCTGAAAAAAAAAACACTTATTTCGTATAGGGGACATTTTAGCTGAACTACATCATTGTCTTTGCAGACGTACAGGCAAGTCGAGACAAAACCTGCTGACAGGGTAGGAAAGGCAAATTGTGCGACCAACAAAGCGCCAAGCTGATCCAGTTACGCTACCTGCCTATCGTCGTTCCCGTCCGACGAATGCCGACCTAGATATCGTTTAACAATGACGTCGGCTGACGATAGATAGCGTCTGTGATCTCGTAACTTGAGTGCATTGCAACGTCAGACACAGACGCACTCGTCAAAAATACGTAAAACGGAAGGAGACATTCGTAATTTCCCATAGGCTAAATCTTTTTGTTTCTTTGTTTAAGTTCGCTATACCGGCCGTGAGCTTTTCAATGACAGCATTGGAAGCCGGCCTGCCAAATAGTAAACGATCGAGTTGAGCAGCTGGCACGCACACGGCTGTGCTGTGATCCTTTCGTGAAGATAAACAAAAAGTCAAGCGATACTTAACCGGGGAGTTCTTTTACTTCTTATTAGTGTATTGTTGTTCATAAGAGCAATCTTAAGATAACTATATATATATATATATATATATATATATATATATAGCATGGATTATTTTTAACTAAAATTTTGGTGCACAATACAAAATTTTATGTTCGTGTGTACGGCTTCCATTTCGTCGCAACTGGGCAAAGTGGGCTCGGGTCGATAGCGCATTGCACACCGGTACACAAGACGGTGCGCAATCAAAGTCTTTCAATAAACATCATATTGCTCTCGCAATTATGGGCTGCGTGCCCTGTTGGTGCCCTTCGAAGCTCCATAGGTGCAGCCCGTAACTGTAGTGCTTGACTGGCTTTGTTCAAAAGGGCACTTCATCTTTGCGCACGGTAAGGCCTTAGCGGAAATTCACACTTGTGCTGAGTGAACAAAGTTAATTGCATGAAACCAGGTTTTTCTGTAGTGCTTGCAAAGAGTTGCGTAGACAATGCGACGCGACGAGTCTCCAACGAATAGCACCGTTGTGGCTATAATTTGCGATCATATTGCCAGACGCCAGACGAATTGGTACCCACATAATACCTGATCTCAAGAAACGTTCTATCGACCAACTAGCGGCTTTCTGTTGAAGATAAACGAACGGCCCAGGAATCAGACAGCAACGCCAAGGTGGGATTTTGCCTATAGATTTGGATTCGTGGAGTTGATCCTCGGAAGAATTGTGTCTTACAGCAAGTCTCTTCAACCAAGCCTGCATCATGAAAGCGATAGGCAAAGAAAAAACTAAAAAGTACGTTATTTATATTGTACCTCAGTTATTTGTATTGGTAGTCCATTTTCACACATTCTAATGTTATCGTATCTATATTTTCGAACGGCTATTCACTTATATGTCGTTACAAAAAATCAAGTTTCTATATGGATCGTCCTATTACGAATCTTCCTGCTCTTCGAATGAAAAAAGACATCTGTAAATACGAAACTACTTTTGCTACATAGATCTGTCCGTCTTCATTAAGCTATCTTTTCGATTTCCACTCCTGAGCCTATCAGAAGCCCAAACGATATCGTTGTGCCGCTACAGGCACCATGACTATAACAAACTCACCAAGGCGCTAAGTTTACTTTGCCTTTTGTTTATATGGTCCTGAGATCTCCAGCGCGGTCTTCGTAGCTATTTGTTCGGTGAAAAGCTCTCCTTGTGCAGTCCGTCACTCGTTGCTTTTTAGCCATGTCCGTGCTATCAATCCATCGCCGCATAACGTAATCTCTCTCTTCTATTCGCGGGGCCTATTACGAGTGGCCCATGTCCGTGAGTAGCACCATCTACCCGATCGATGCCCTGATGTTAGGTGTCTACAAGCCGGATTACCTATTGATTCGTTATTGGAAGACCGATTATTATTAGTCTTAAAGAATAGAAGGGTATGATGCTCTCCCATAAATACCCTCAATGGCAATTTCGCGCAGCTAAGTGGCCGACATCGGCGAATCGGGTAAAGCTTTGAGCCGTGTGAATTTGGCCGCAGCGGCTCGTGATAAATAGTCGGTTATATATGATTATATTCAATTGTACAAACAATCTGCGATGTTGCGTCAGGCATACATACGCCGAGGAGACAAAACACAATTGGTTCGCGTGAAGAGATGCCCAAGCGTTCCGATCAGCGACCCGCTGACTAGGCATCATCGCCCAGCTACTCAACGAACAGTGTTGGCTGACCAGTATGTATAGTACGATTGAAGTCATTGAACCATATACGACTTAGCGTTCGCCATCTCGATTTTGCCATTATGGCTCTAATTATTGTCCTGTTTTCCATTACAGTCATTGGTGTCGTTTAATAACAACGTTCCAGTTCGGAGTTCAACATACTTGAGTGAAATACATATATATATATATATTTGGGTATAACACTGGGCGTGCTCCATTGTCGCTTGTAAAGTAATGTCACTGCGCAGGTTTATAGGGACTGCATTTTCTCATAAACGAGACGTTTATGCGATATTTTTCAATTTTTTTTGGGTACGCATGCATATTGGCCCATTGATGTACGAAGTCAGCAACATTCGTAGCGTTCTGCCATTGAAACGTTTGCCTTTTTCGCCGCAAATTCTTCAAAATATTTTACCTCGAAGCTTACAGCCAGTTAATAGAAGTCTGTTGGCCTCTAACAGGCCAATGATGACGTGCATACGCCTTGAACGGAATAGGTCTGCCTTTGTTCCTTTTTGTACTGAAAAGAACTTATGCATTATCAGTGGTAGAATTTGTTTGAAAAGAAGGGTTCTTGAATCAAAACATTTGTATTCTCTTTTTTTTTTGGCGATATAGATTCATCTGTCAGTGTCCATATGGCCAAATGTCTGCGAATAACCCTTCGTTGAGTTTACCTACAGAAGTATCCACTAACGGCTTAACAAACCGCTGAATGAATAAGACACAACGTGTCCCATTCACGAGGGTAGAACTAAGTCGGTTTAGATCAGAGAAAGGCCTAAGCTTTGCGCCACCCTCTTATCGGCTACAGGACCTTCTAGAGAGAAAGACGCTACGAATAACTACATAGACAACAATGAAAACAAGAGCGAAGAGGTCACCGAAAGCCTATGGATGTACCGCGAGAAAGCATTCGACGAATCCAACGGCGGGTTACGCATAGTAGGAGACAACGCTAACAGAAAATTGAATTAAAGGTTGAAGGAGAGATTAAGAGAGAAACATAATTTTTTTCTCGGTCATTTTTTTCGGGGCTGTTCTCAACGAACGTGCGTATGAACGCTTCAGAACGCTACCGAACGCCTTTGTTTCACCGATAATACGTTCGCCAGCTAGTCACTCTCTCGAATCTGAAAGGAACTATTTTCTCTATTTTTTTATTGTTTCTGTTTTCCGTGCATACGATAATACGTCCTTTGTTCCGGATGCCCTTTGTCTAATTGACGCATATTATTTATTATTGGTTTCTTTTAGTTTTATTTTTCTTACTAAAAACTGACTTGGGACAAAAATTGATGTGTGCTCTTCGTAGGTTGGTCCATTATATCTATTCGCAATGGTTAGCCTCTTACGATAACGAAGGCGTTTTTATATTACGTTTTTCGCTGAGTAAATGGTTGCGCTAATCAAGCGGGTGATGGTATGCCATCGTAAGCTTGCTCTGCTTATGCCAGTTCTGGTTCGTGTACTGCTGCGCTTCAAAAGAATTTGTACGGTGCGATTGTCTTCCATATATCGAGTATTTTCATATAAGAGGTCGAAGCCTATTTCTGTCGATTTTGAAAGGTAGCAGCAACACTTTCCCTATTCTTCTGATGGCCCTGACGTCGAATCGTAGCGAGAAATGCCATCAAAAGTTGATCGAAGAGTGAAAAAACGTAGGCAAATTTTGGGCTTTCTGCGCAAACACTGCTACCGCATAAACTACTAGAACAAGATCCCCTAAACCCAGCCGGTTCAGATTTACCTACAGTTCTAGTACAGAAAATACATGAGCTCGATTATTTACTTTTCATATAAAAAAAAAATCGATTTTCTCAATTTTAGACAAGAGGACATGGGTACTTTCGCAAAAAAGCACTTCGTAATTGAACATCTCTAAAGCCCCATCGGCGGCACAAACGGGCGAAAGACACAGCCAATACACTGATCGGGATAGTTAAACTTTCATTGTTTATTTTCTTTTCCCATTTTTCAACTTCGTCTTGCGACAAATATGTTCATCCGTTCACCTTCATCAGCAGCAGCATGATCATTGCTGCCATTTCGCAGTGCGTCAATTGCCATTTACTTCTATGACGCCACTGCCGCCACCTGGTGTCATCAGCAACGGCGGCGGCGGCGGCGGCGGCGGCGGCGACTACTACAGTGATCACCGACACCGGCAACCACCGGGCCCGACGACGGGCTGACCGGCTGACTGGCAAGCTAGACAAATAAAAGGCAACGAGTCACCGCAGCGAGTCTATCTATCGTGCTCTTTCTCCTCTCCCAACCGGCCGCGAGATGATTCCTAGGTGCGCCACCTAGCGGACAGGCCGTGTTAGCGCGCACTCGTAGAGCTCGGTCCGTCGTTCTTCTACCCGCGATCGAGCCGCGAGCACAGGGCGTCTAACGATTGGTACGATTCGGCTCGTGCGCTTGCTGGTGCTGCGGCAGATCTACGTTAGACCGATTGCAATTGCTCCTACTACAAGACACGATCCAGCGCACGGTACAACGAAGCGACAGGTTCGCGGCGCATACTCGCAGCTAGATAAAGAAACGGAAGCGGGCGACGACTAGCCCGAAAAACAAACGCACGGTTGGACGGGCGGGCGGGTGTTCTCGTGCACCGCGAAGAAAATACGCGCCGCCAATAAGAACGGACGTCTAATGGCGATGAGTATTTCTGCGCGCTGCGGCAAAATCATTTTGCGTCTCGGTGCTTGTTTGTCCATCTTCTACTGAGCGACCCGCGCATCGCCACCGATTCCGGAAAGAGGCCTGATTATAGTTGATGGGCCATGTTTGCCAGGTCTTTCTTCGTTTGAAGTGAATATGTGTGGGACTATGCATTTTTGCCTCCTGTAGCTGCCGCTTCCGCTATTGCTGTTCCTATGAGAAATGTCCTTGTCATCACTGAGCGGTGCGTTGCACACGGACTGCCTATCGAAAAATTGAAGAAACGATGATTAGCTCGTCTTTGTGAGTAATTAATAATAAAATGTGAATAGAGCCATCACTATCATGTGAGTGAACCCATCTGACGGCGCGGATACTGAACAGATACAACTATTAAAAATAGATATATATGTAGATATATAGAAGGACAGAGAGTGCGTGAATGTGAGTTAATTGACACTGGATGATTTCTGTACTGTTTATCTCCGCGAAGCAAAGAACCAACGACGCTATTTTTACATATTGTTAGTCTCATTCATTTTATTGTAGTGGCGTCGTGAGGGCGCGTCGACGGACAAAAGTGCACGATGCCGCGACCGTGGCGAAAGCCCCGTCTCATTCTGTCTACGTGTGTGTAAGTATATTTAGAAAACTCTATATAGGCGTATTATAATATCGATTGGCCTAAGTAATTTAGCGGTTTATTCAGCATGAATTTGCGCTCTTCGTACGTCCGTAATAGATGTGTGGTTAGGACAAGACTTAAACGAAGAGGGCCAGCAACGGTGTCCCTGATACTGCTCCTATAGTAACTGCCTTCTAGATATTACTTTACAAGAACGAAAGGCACAGGCGTGGCTGCTGCGCCTGATGTGACTAAATTCGTTGTGACATGATCAGTAGCGTGCAATGACTGGCACAACGTTTTTGCAACAAAGGGCACAGCCGTTCGATAGACTGATTTCATAGATTTTTTCCTTCCTGTATATCGAACAGATACAGCTGTGGTTAGCCATTCGACCTTAAAATAGGGCTTCCATAGAGAGTGAATTCTTTCTATTAGGCGAAGTTTGATTGTGTTACGTCATGAGTCTAGCGCTTTTAATGCTACTAGTCTTGAAATTCAAAGAAAACTAAAAACAACAGTCTGATTTGATTACGTTTTAAACAAAAGGAATATACCTAATGCGTCTGTTATGGGTTCTCTGTGTGCCGGCTGATGTGAGGTCCCAAAACACTAGGTAAACCTTGCAACAGATTGTGTCGTTGTTTGGAGCTTTGTTTTTTCTGAACTTCTATGAATGGTATTTTAGTTGCAATACGCCCCAGTTCGCTGACACCGAAGCTGGCCATTTTTTCATGCCGATGATTCATTGCAGTAGAAAACCCCAAAAACGCCTTGCACCAAATAGCCTTTTGGAAAATCGATAGATAGTCACACTGTCGTCTTTCGCCGCGGCAGCTACTGCTCCCAGATTCTACTAAGGGAATTATAATAACAACTCATAGATTAATCGATATAGTTAATAAAATAACGTGTCAGAGCGAAATTAACCTATTAATCTATATTAATCTAATTATAAACTAAATGTAATTGATTTCTTTTAATGTAAGCGTATTTAAATAATAACTAGTTGGCATGAAATTTTTTCTTCTGTAAATATTTGAAGATATATATGCACATTACTAACGTTATAGATAGCAGTTGCCATGAATTTGGATGGCTGATAAGACCAAAGCTTACTTGACGCAAATAAGAGTTTAGCGACCGTGCTCATACGAGGCAGGAGCCACTGTCCATTTGATTCTGATTTTGATTTCCAGATGATTCAGGACTAAGTACATAATGTCGGTAGTAACAGAGGTAAACGATACAATTGAGATGCGCGAGGCGTCACATAAAAAATCACTGTAGATGTCCGCTTCATAAAATGTAGAAACATTGTTTGTCATATAATGAGTTGCATACGTCTTCGAAAGGTGTGTGTGCATAGGGTATATACACCTGTTATTTCCAATCTGGCAAAAGGGTGTAGGCCGAAAATAGGCCACCTATTACCACTGCGAAAACATCAAACTTGCTCAGATAGAATCGTATGTAGCGTGCATTGGCTATGTGAGAAAAATACGTAGTCAATTGTAGCTATCTATATTATTATCATTATTATCTACAGTCTACTACGATATGTAGTTATCATAAGAGGCAAAAAGTCGCAGAACAATATAGTTCGTCCGTTTGATTATATATCCTTTCTAAAATATTAGTCGATGCACGCTCTCTAGTTTATGTTGCGTAGCCACGAAGTTACTGAGGGGAAACTCTATATTTTATACTGTTCATCGAATTGGCCTCTCATTTCTAGTCCTGTAACGGGAAGCTTTTCGTATGTCGGCTGAATTGATTTGGTTTCTGGAACGCACGCAAATAAGGTCGGCCGACGCCGCAACAACGTACGGGAGTAAAGTCGGTTGTCGGCTGACGTGTCAAAAACGTAGGTACGTACGTAAGATGCGCCGTCGGCCGATGTCGCAACGAGGCACGTAAATATGGTCGGTTTTCGTTTCTGGGACGCACGTAAATGTGCTCGGTTTGTCAAATCGACTGGCTTATTGACTCCGCTCGTGAGATGTCCGAAGTAAAGCTTTTGGTTAAAAAAGCGCCTGAAACGCATTTTACCGCATAAGGCATAATGAACGCGATCCGGTTCCTGGGACGTCGTTGGCAACACTTTCAGTCAAAAAAATTAGTTTAAACGGATTTTTACTGTATGAGGAGAGGTGCAACATTCAAATATTCACCCTTTTCTTTGGGTATAGGCAATGTATTTCATTGAGTTCGTCGGTATCTATCGATGGCTGCAAGGGGCAGTATCTTTAAATAGAACCCAATGTTGAATTTTTCCTGCTGAAAGACCATTTACGAATCGAAGACTGAAACTTAAATATAGGAATAATAGTTACATTTCAATCTAGCTCGTTAAGAGTTTTCAGTCGATACAAAAAAATCACCCCCCCCCCCCCTGCGCATAGGCCTTTTAGAAAAAAAAACACTCAAGATTGGTTATTGGTTTGTTTTCATGCTGAAATATGCGTTTTTCACTTTAGGGGGGTTATGCAACTCACCGAGGCCTGTCGACCGGTCTCAAGAAATCCTGTTAAAAATTTTTAATTGTGTGTAAAAAAATATTATCAATGATATTTTAGGAAAAATTTGTTTACTAAAATGTTCGCCACGCCAACGGCTCGAACTTTCAAAACTGATATTCACAGAAAGGAAATACTGAAAAATAGTTTAAAAGCTACACGGGAGGGAACAAGTCGCGCAATACTCCCTTCGCTCTGTTAAAGTCAAAACAGTCGGTTTGTCAAAATTATTGATTGGCAGTAAAAGAAAACTGTGAAGAATATATTTTTTTTTCTTTATTTATCTAAAGATAAAGCCAAATATCTATTTGGCTTAGAATGTATTTTCGAAGGAAAAGTTCGACATAACATCGATGTAGCAGATGTTAAAACTTGCCAACTGACAATTATCGAAAGTTTATATTATTTGGTCGATTTATCGAAACTTATCGTACGACACCGAGGCAAGTTACATGGTAAAACGGTGCTTTTCAGAAGGTATTTTTAGCATAAACATGCAGATTTAGCTGCATATACATATTAACAATTTCAGCTCGCCTTGTCAAGACCTACTATTTAACACCATAAAAAAATATATATATATAGAGCCTTAAATAAATTTTCGGCTCTCACTTTGGCACGATAAGTGGGGAAGTAAAAAAAAGAAAATAAAGAACAAGCCATTCTTAATAGAAGGATACTCTATAAATAAAGAAGACAAGCAACGCTAGACCGCTGAAAATGGCTTTCACGAAAACGGATCTCATTGTCGGACAGACATTAACAGCAGAACTGAAGACATTTAGCTTATTTGTTAAGTATGATGGAACGATACGAGGTCTCGAAGGGTAGAGATTACGTTTCCGAATATACAATCAATTTTTATATGTGTATGATAAAACAGTCGTGAAAAAACGTTGTCCCTACTTCAAGATTTACTTCAAGATAAAACGAAAGCAGTAATCATCTCGCCCAATGCCTATGAAGGCTGTTTTGTAAAGCGTTTGCTTATGTTACATTAAAATAATTCTTTAAGTATCTGTGAGAAAAGACTGCGCTATAAAAGTATTTACCTACTGACTTTCCGACTCCCCGCTTCGCGCAATACGTATTAAGTCCTATGTAGGTAACATTACGTGCTAGTCAAATTGTTGACCATCCTGTTCCTAAATCTCAGCAAAAACTAGCGAGTCCACTAATGCTATCGGATTAAAGGGATCGTTCCTCAAACATAAAAAAATTTCACAAACATCTGCGTCAGTACCTTCCACGAGGCCCGTGTTTCAAACACCTAATAGACCCTTAAAATTTCAGCGAATCACCATTCTCGCAAAATGATTTTGTGCTTGCGAACCTTTTCTCTAGATGCTCCTTTATCTCGTATGCGTTTAGAAGAAGGAGACATCCTGTTAATTGCTCTGATTTTAACAGCTGCATGATTTTGTTGAAAGCTCGAGATAGAGCATTTTGTTTTCATCATTTCGACCTCGACAAAAAAGAAGCAACCCAACAGGTAGAGGAATACCATGTGATTTTTTTTACGGCATAATAACGATTTGGTTGCATAGTAGATGATTGATTGATAATGAAACTATCATATTGGAGCTATTATATTGGAGGGGGCATCTTGTAACAGCGAATATTTTTATCTACAGTCGTCCTTTCAGTTTACTTTTAGGACACATATTAGGATCAAAAATTGATTTCAGCGATGGCCAAGAGCGTCTCGCAGTTCAGTGAACCAATCAAGTTTGCTTCAAAGTACTGTAACTCTACAAAGAAATACGTTACTCTTCTTCATGCTCATGAAAAGTCATGCTCTTGCGTCATTTTGACAACGTATTTTGTCAATAAACTTGTAACGTGAAAGTGACACGGTACGAGACGTATGCAATGGTAAGGTCTGTACAAGACATCTATTCTACTGGCGACGTATAGACACCTCTGTAGTATTTGGGCTTATGGCAGAAGATAGCATTTTGATCGGGAGGACGTTAATAAAAGAAAAAAAGATCGTCACTTCAAATGGCATAGCAACCAAAGTTCAATCGCTGTACATTGACACTTAGTTTTTTTGACAACATTATAGATTAATGCGCTGTCCTGTTATTCGCAGGAAGGCGTTGGCCGGAAGCACTTTATCTATAACCTACATATGATTCCATACGTATTTTTTTCTATCCATTCTAGTTGAGCAAGCCCTGACCTTCGTATTGATGTTTTTAGGCTTGAATTGTTAGTACACAGGAGGGTTTGTGAGCGGTTTTATATGGGCCTATTTTCATCTGTCGGTTGATTGTTCATCATTTCATCAGTGCAACGCTGGCTAAACGTTTACCCCTTGTCAAGCTTGGACTCATATATGGTCTGGGACGACGGTGATGTTTGGCCTTCAGCCATGCTTTTGTCTAACAACGCCCTTATATGATTAAGTTTGCTATGCTGTATGTATACCTTCCGTCAAGCGCCATTGATCTTTCCACATAACTTCGCTTCGAAAAGAGCATTCAC